GGCCGAAAAAGCGCCGGAGAAATTTGAATAGTGAGACTAAGCCGAATTACACACTATAAAATAGGTTCTAAAACATCACCAGAAAACAGAAACTTTTTTGGAAATTACTGTTCACGTCGGAAAAAGTGTAGTGTTCACGCCGAAAAAAATAAAAGTTGTCAGAATTTGATGTAATTTATGTGTAGACTGAACCACTGGACGAGTAAGTTGTCCTGAAGAAGTTTTGTCAAAAAAGTAGCCAAAATGGCTCACACGCGCCGGAAAAGTTACTGTAGCTCGCCGAAACTCTAATTCTGGCGGCGCGTGGAGGCGCGTGACTTTCTGTCGGAGCGATTGACTGAGGTTTTGTCGCCTGAATTTTCCGAACAAGATGGTAGTGTTGGTTTTCGCACAACACTTACTGATGAGGAGATAACACAAATTAATCTTGAGTCGTCAACCGGAAAGATGCACGGTGACTGACTTTTCTTTTCAGATGGGACTGGACTTTCTGGGGTTTGGTCGCACAGGGGTTTCGTATCTGATGGTGGTACTGGTATATGCACAGTACCATTGTAGCAGTGATGAACCCTGGGAACAAGACAGAGTTGTCGGAAAATTGCACGGCGATGAGATCTTTTTTCTCAGATGTCGCTGGAATGACGCACAATGATAATTTTCTCACTGAAGCTCTGATACCATGTGAGAATAATCTATTTTTTACAAGAGCCCTATGTATAATACATATTCTACTCCTACTACATTTGAGACTAGGATTATTTACACATAACTATCTAACAAGCATGATTCAAGGAGATTTGATTATATTTAGGAGATTGTTGATTAGCATGATTTCAGGAGATTTTATTATAATTAGGAGATTAGATTTGATTTGATAACTGGATTAATTGTATAGATTTATTTTATTTCCATAATTAGCATTATGAGCTTTGTATAAATTCCCTTGCTCATGGGATATAAAGAAATATAAGAAGCCTTTTCTTCTTTTCAAAATCTACAAAGATAATCTAAGCAGGAGGAACACCTACATTGAATAGGTGTTACATGTGTCAGATTAAGGCAGCGAGTGTGAGGCATATTTTGCGAGTGTGAGGCATATTTTCTCCATGTGCAGTTGCAACAGATTGAGTATGTTCTTTTCAATTTTGGACTAGGCTGAGTCATGCCTAATTGTATTAAAGATGCCTAGGAAAGCGGGTGTTCTTGGAGAGTTGGCAAATTCATCAAAAATACTTGGGTGTTGGTACCTACTTCTATGTTTTGGTGCATATGGACCGAAAGGAATATCAGATGTTTAGATAGGATATCAACTCCAAACCATGCTCTTAAAGCTAAATCTTTATTTAACCTTTTTACTTTGCTTAATCAGGCACCTGTATCTAGTATCATTTTTTGGACTGTGCTTGCTCCTTAGTTTTAACATAGGTTTTTTGTTGATGTTCATGAGCAGTCACACTCTATTTACTTGTACCCTCTTTCGCTATGCATCTTCTTGATGTTCCTTTAATGAAATTCTCTACTTTGTATATCTATTATTTCTTTAGATGCAATGACTATTTGTTTCAATTGTATATTTTGTTTTTGATAATGTAAATAATTTTATTAAAAAATGGTAGAAACCCCGTATACAAGCCATATACCAAAAAGAAGAGAACCTACACCAAAATATGATTCTCAACAAAAAAGATCCAATCCTCTATACAAATAGGGATCCCGTGATTACACCAAGAAGTAACAAGAAATATAAGAATATTTTGTAATTTTACAAAATCTTGTTCCACACCTTCGAATGCTCTCCTATTTTTCTCATTCCAAATAACCCACATGATCGCTAATGGGGCAAAACGCAATGCCCTTGGACTTCTCTTCCCACTCCTGTGAGCCCAACTATGCAACGCCTCCTTTACTGTGCCCGGCTTTACCCATTGCGTCCCAAACAAATTAAGAACCACCCTCCATAACAGATTAGCCACCTAGCTATGCAATAAGAGATGATATACATTTTTGCCCGAGCTTTTGCACAGGAAACACCAACTAACATAGATGATTTTCCTCATTCTTAGATTTTCCGCTGTTAGAATCACCCCCCTTGAACCCAACAAAGAAACATACTTTTCTCGATGCTCTAGGAATCCAAATAGAGCAATGAGGAAAGATATGTTCTTCTCTCCCTAGAAGCCTCTTATAGTAAGATTGAATATTCAGTCTCTACTCTCACGCCACCTCCATACATCCGATGAAGTACTCGGCGTATCCAACCCATACTGTAACTCAACCATTTTGTGAAATTCTTTTATTTCCCATTCCTGTAGGTTTCTCATAAATCTCAAATCCCAATGAACTTTTCATGGGACTTACAAATTTGTTGGACTATCATCCCCTTTGGCACGATACACTATATACGTTAGGGAATGCTACTTTCAACTCGATCTCCCCGCACCACTTTTGTGCCCAAAAACTAATCCTGCTTCCATCCCCAACCCTGAAGGAGAGTCCACTAAAATCTTCCCACCCCTTCATAATACTCCTCCATAATCCACACCCAAACGGTACTGTGATGTTTCGAGTCCTCCATCCCCTTTTTGTAACACCATATTGTTCCGCTACCACTCCTCTCCAAAATGCATTCTCCTCCACCCCGAATTGCCATATTTTCGGGCCAAATCTTAAAAAACTTTGTTGGAACTCTATTATTTTTAGCCAAATAAAAATGTTTTAGCCAAATAATGGAGTTCCATGTGCGTATTTATTTTATTCTTATTGAGATGCAATGGTTATTCATTTTGATTGTGTATTTTTTTCCTTTCTGGGACAAATCTGTAAAGAACGTGATTGGCACTCTATTATTTATAGTCAAATAAAAAACTTCTTAGTCAAAATAATGGAATTCCAAGGGTGTGTTTCTGTTTATTGCTTCTTAAGTCGCAAAGACTATTTATTTCAGCTGTGTAATTTCTTTTCAGGCCAAATTTGTAAGTAACTCGGCTAGAACTCCATTATTTTAAGCCAAATAAGAAAAGTTTTAGCCAAAATGATTGGGTACCAACCATGTATTTCTTATTGTTTCTTCGTTAGATGCTATGACTTTGTTTCAATTGTGTGTTTTTTTTTCCGGGCCAAACCTGTAAAAAGTTTTGCTCAAACTCCATTTTCGGTCAAATTAAAAAATGTTTTAGCCTATATTGGAGTCCCAGCTAAGTGTCTTCCAAATTTGGCCCGAAAAGATGATTAAAAAAATTAATGAATTTTAAAAGGTAAAAAAAAAAATTATTCTTTAAAAATGCCACGTGGACAAACAAATATATGTGGTAGTGCATATCTCTCACATCCTTGGACTAAGGTCGCCCATACGGTAAATGCTACCAAATAGCCAAGTCTAAGGGGTAATTAGGACTACGAAAAGTTTAGATGTGCACGGAGTAAACCATACCAAGTTTAGGGGGTAGTTTGGTATTCTGCCAAAATATACTCAATGAAATTATACTTGTTCTCAGAAGGAAAATAACATAGTATCATGTCCTATTTATGTCATGTTCCCTAATTTTTTTTTTTTTTTTTTTTTTTTTTTTTTTTTTTTTTTTTTTTTTCTGTTGATGGTATGTTATAGTTTTAGACGTGCTAGTGTCTTGATGGAGCAGAAGCTATCAAATAGTAACAAAGAACGGAAGAACTCTTCTTTAAAATGAAGATGGCAAAACAAGAGAGTAAATACTACTCCCTCCGTTTCAATTTATGTGAACCTGTTTGACTGGGCACAGAGTTCAAGAAAAAATGAAGGCTTTTGGAATTTGTGGTCCTAAACAATTTAAAAAGGGGTCCAGAGTATTTGTGTGGTTATAAAAGCTTCTCATTAAGGGTAGAATTGTAAGTTTAAGCAAAATTGTTTCCAAATTTAGAAAGGGGTCATTCTTTTTGGAACGGACCACAAAGGAAATAGGTTCACATAGACTGGAACGGAGGTAGTAATAATCAATACTCCCCCCGTTTCAATTTAGATGATGTAGTTTGACTTGACACAAAGTTTAAGAAAAAAAAAAAGAAGACTTTTGAAATATGTGGTGCTAAAAGCTTAAGGGGCAAAAGCTTAGTGGGACTATGATATTTGTGTGGCTATAAAAGCTTCTCATTAAGGGTAAAGTGGGTAGAATGAAAATTTTAAAGTTAAATTATTTCTAAATATAGAAATGTGTCATTCTTTTTAGAACGGACTAATAAGGAAAGTCTGGCATCTAATTGAAACGGAGGGAGTAATTAATAATAAATAAAGAAAGCGGTTAAGTGACTTTTTAATGCAAAGTCCTTCCTGGCCCCAAAAGGGGCCTTTTCCAATTACTTAGGAAAATAACTAAACTCAACTTGAATTAATATGCATACCAGCAACAAATTTGCAGAATAAGACCGAAAAGAGAACCACATAAAAGGATAAAAGTTTGACCGAAGAACCTAATATAACTAAAAGCGAAAAAAGGGCCAGACAATTCGAGGAGGGGTTGGAAGGTGTGCGCTCATGGATTCTATTAAGAGTATAGATTCGTCTTATGAAGATAAGTGCGTGATTGGAACGGGAACCCTGGTGGGATCAGAAGTAATGGCCATTTAAGCTCTTAACAACACAATGATTTGATTTCTAATGGTCCCAGCTGTCTGTCACGGACTTGTCTTTCATCATGTCCCTATCAATGCTTCTCAAGAGATGATTATCATGATGCATCCTTTATATGTCGTTAGTAATGCATATATGAAATTTGTAAGGTGTTAGGAATTTTCTATACGAAGCACCTCGCTTCATTGTTGAATATACAGTGTAGCTTGACCACATAAATAAGGTTCCATTTTTCTCCAGTTTGTTTGTTGTTATTAATAGTCCCTTTGTGGCTGTTACACTTGTACAAGAAGAACTTTTAATGTATGTGCATGCTTATTAATGGTACTTTGACTAGATCCAGCTGGAAAGATTTGTGATTTAATTACGTCCCTACTGTCAACATTTAACTTTGCAGGAGAGAAAAATAAGTTACATGGCAGCTATGAAACTTGAAATTGAACGCTTTCGCGTGAACCTCTCTGCTGCTGAAAGGGATAGGGCATTGTTGTCAATTGGCGTTGATCCTGCCAGTATAGATCCAAATCTGCTGCTTGACGATTCTCGTATCGGAGGATTGTGCAGGGTAGCAAACATCCTTGCTTTGCTTGGACATGCTTCTCTTGAGGATAAAGTTACTGCTTCCAGTGGTCTTGAGTTTGCTGATGATAGTGCTATAGATTTCTGGAATATAGCAGGAGTGGGGGAGATATGTATGGGTGGGACATGCCAAGTTCATGCTGAAGATGGGCCTGTATTGCATTCACTCTCTGTTTCAACTACTGCACAAGCCTCTTTTGTGTGTTCTGAATGTGAGAGAAAGGTTTGTAAAGTTTGTTGTGCTGGGAAAGGGGCTCTTTTACTTGCTATGGTTAACTCTAGGGAGGTTGCTAGCTACAACGGCGTGAATAGCCAGGGAGGAGCAATCTATGCAAACTCAGTTGATTTATCCTCAAATCATTCCATGACACTTGATGGTGTCATTTGCAAAGCCTGCTGCCATGATGTTGTGCTTGATGCATTAATCTTGGACTACATCAGGGTTTTGGTTGGGCAGAGGAGGAAAGCTCGCGCAGATAATGCTGCTCAAAAAGCTGTAGACCATGTGATCAGATTTACTTCGAGGAATAATTGCCAACTGACTCCAACAGCGTATATGGAATTATTTAATGGAGAGGAATCACTTGCTGAGTTTCCATTTGCAAGCTTTTTGCACCCGGTAATATTTTGGATCTATCCCAATCCACATTTTATTAGCACTTTTTATCTTAGAAAACCTTTTGTTGTTTTGATTTTTCAGCAACTGTATGCTAGGTTTATTCTTTTCATGAATCTGTTTAAACCAAATGCGAATGATGCAGCATCTCATGGTTGACGATAAACTGGATTCGCTTAGACCCAAAAGGCTACTACTTAATTTGCCTAATTACTTGATGCCATTGAAAGAATTATTTTCTCCATCTAATTACTTGATGCAGTAATTAAGGTGAAACTTGCTTGATGGAGAGCTTAGGTTTTAGCTCAAACATTATGCATATCTTGTTGGCCATACTTCCTAAAGTTTAAGAAGTCATTTCTCTATCTTTCTCCTGATGTGTAAACCAGATTCTCTTGCCTGAAATTTGGCGTTGGAAGAGTGGAGGTTTCTAAGCTGATTTTGGGCTTGTCCCTAGATTGCAACACGAGTTGATATAGTATTAGATGGATGAACTGAGAGAAAGGTTTAGGTAGCCTATAACGGGGCTTAGGACTGCTAGGCTGACCTGGATAGGTGATAACAAGAAAAAGTGGAAAAGAGGAAAGAGACTGTTTCAAATTCCATACAAAATTCCATAGGATTAACCCCCTTAGGTAAACAACTAAATCTTCCACAGAAACTGACAAATACATCATGGTTCTTCCTTTTGGTGTCCAAACTTTTGTTAGTAAAATTATTACCTTATCAAAAAAATTTCTTCTTCCAACTTGATTACTGCTAAATGACTTGAAACATAAAACTGGTATTTAGATGTCAAAATCTAGCTTATATTGATTTGAAGATTTGTATGATGAAGGTTCTCTTAGACATCTTATAGGTGGCTCTCAAGTTGGCAAAGATTAACTTGATCAGCAATTCTTTGCTGTTCTAGGCTGTATTTCTCTTGCAAACACTGCCAATCTATCTGGGCGATATTTAGTTGAAGTTGAAAAAATGAGTATTCAAAGTTGAAGTTGAAAAAAGTATTCATAAGTTGAAATTGTGAGAACTATTATTTCATCGGAAATACTCATTAATCAAGTTATCCAACTTCAAATTTCTATTTCAAGTTGAAGTTGACAAAGTACACAAAATTATAAAGCAAACATTGTATTGAAAATAATAATTTAATATTTTACAATAATGTATGTCCAAGTGGTCGCTTAATTGTGATTATCATCTTTTGGCTGGTTCTCAAAAAGAGTAGAATTTTTTTGGTAAGGTTTTTATCCTGAGATTTTTTTTTTTTGATAAGGTAAAATTGTATTAATCAAAAGGGAGAGAACTCTCGTGTACACAAAGTATACCAAAGACGTAGAGAATTTACATCAGAACATGATTCTCTACAAAAGACGCCCAATCTTTTATACAAGTAGGGGCTAAGTGAGTGCACCAAAAAGCGATCAAAGATAAAATGCTATTCTTAAGATGTGAAAAAGGAGACTCAATCTCCTCAAAAGCTCTCCTATTTCTCTCCCC